ATCACCTACCACTGAGAACTAACAATCACCAACCACTGGGAACTAACAATCACCTACCACTGGGAACTAACAATCACCTACTACTATGAACTAACAATCACCTACCACTGAGAACTAACAATCACCTACCACTGAGGACTAACAATCACCAACCACTGGGAACTAACAATCACCTACCACTGAGGACTAACAATCACCTACCACTGAGAACTAACAATCACCAACCACTGGGAACTAACAATCACCTACCACTGGGAACTAACAATCACCTACCACTGAGGACTAACAATCACCTACCACTGAGAACAAGCAATCACCTACCACTGAGAAGTAACAATCACCTACCACTGAGAACTAACAATCACCTACCACTGAGAACAAGCAATCACCTACCACTGGGAACTAACAATCACCTACCACTGAGAACTAACAATCACCTACCACTGGGAACTAACAATCACCTACCACTGGGAACTAACAACCACCTACCACTGAGAACTAACAATCACCTACCACTGAGAACTAACAATCACCTACCACTGAGGACTAACAATCACCTACCACTAAGAACTAACAATCACCTACCACTGAGAACTAACAATCACCTACCACTGAGAACTAACAATCATCTACCAATGAAGACTAACAATCACCTACTACTATGAACTAACAATCACCTACCACTGAGAACTAACAATCACCTACCACTGAGAACTAACAATCACCTACCACTGAGGATTAACAATCACCTACCACTGAGAACTAACAATCACCTACCACTGAGAACTAACAATCACCTACCACTGAGGACTAACAATCATCTACCAATGAAGACTAACAATCACCTACTACTATGAACTAACAATCACCTACCACTGAGAACTAACAATCACCTACCACTGAGGACTAACAATCATCTACCAATGAAGACTAACAATCACCTACTACTATGAACTAACAATCACCTACCACTGAGAACTAACAATCACCTACCACTGAGGACTAACAATCATCTACCAATGAAGACTAACAATCACCTACTACTATGAACTAACAATCACCTACCACTGAGAACTAACAATCACTTACCACTGAGGACTAACAATCACCTACCACTGAGAGCTAACAATCACCTACCACTGAGGATTAACAATCACCTACCACTGGGAACTAACAATCACCTACCACTGAGGATTAACAATCACCTACCACTGTGAACTAACAATCACCAACCACTGTGAACTAACAATCACCAACCACTGAGGGTTAACAATCACCTACCACTGAGAACTAACAATCACCTACTACTATGAACTAACAATCACCTACCACTGAGAACTAACAATCACCTACCACTGAGGATTAACAATCACCAGCCACTGAGAACTAACAATCACCTACCACTGAGGACTAACAATCACCTACCACTGAGAGCTAACAATCACCTACCAGTGAGAGCTAACAATCACCAGCCACGTTATCAACGCATACAACAACAGCTTAATTGATTTAGCCTCGGACTCATCTGTGTAAGTTTCAAACGAAGTTAAATAAATTTTATTGCATTTCCTAAATAAAAGTTTCAAACGCAAAACTTTTGTTAAATTAATATTTTACAAAAGCGGTCAATCCCTTTGATCGAAATACACTTTACACATTAATGTTAATCCCGGTAGTTGTTAATATTCATGTATGTTTCAGAACAAGTTTGTTTTGGTTCTGTTTTTGTGTGGTTATGTTTGACCAGGTGTGTGTGTGTTTGTGTGTGTATCCTGATGTGTTTGTGTGTTTGCTGGTCTAGATGTGTGTGTGTGTTTGCTGGTCTAGATCTGTATGTGTGTGTTTGCTGGTCTAGATGTGTATGTGTGTTTGCTGGTCTAGATGTGTATGTGTGTTTGCTGGTCTAGATGTGTATGTGTGTGTGTGTGTGTTTGCTGGTCTAGATGTGTATGTGTGTGTGTGTGTGTGTTTGCTGGTCTAGATGTGTGTGTGTGAATGCTTGTTCAGGTGTGTTTTTGAATGTGCTTTTTCTTATGTGTGTATGTGTATTCACCTAGCTGTTCTTGCGGGGGTTGAGCTCTGCTCTTTCGGCCCGCCTCTCAACTGTCAATCAATCAACTGTAACTAACTACTATTTGTTCCCCTCACACGCAAACTCACACACACACACTCAGGAAGCAGCTCTGTAACAATTGTCTAACTCCCAGGTACCTATTTACTGCTAGGTAACAGGGGTATGAGTGGTGAAAGAAACTTTGCCCATTTTTTTCTGCCAGGTCCGGGAATCGAACCCGGGCCAAAGAATTTCGTGTCCTGAGCTATCCGCTCAGCTACCAGACCCGTGTGTACTCACCTAGTTGTACTCACCTAGTTGTGTTTGCGGGGGTTGAGCTCTGGCTCTTTGGTCCCGCCTCTCAACCGTCAATCAACAGGTGTACAGATTCCTGAGCCAACTGGGCTCTAGCATATCTACACTTGAAACTGGGTATGGAGTCAGCCTCCACCACATCACTTGTGTGTGTGTGTGTGTGTGTGTGTGTGTGTGTGTGTGTGTGTGTGTGTGTGTGTTTACTTGTCTACATGTGTTTGGGTGTTACTTGTACAGATGTTAATTGCAGGGATAAACTTGTGCTCCTGGTCCCCTATTTTCTAGCCACAAGTCATCAGACATAATGACATAAAAACTAACTAAACGGAAAACTGAAGAACCTGACATTTGCCACCTACTGCGAGTAAGTGTATTTAACCATCATACGCTTAAAACTTTCGAGTGAGTTCGCTTCAATGATATTAGATGTTGTTCAACCACTTTGACTGGTCGGAGTTCCATCCCCAACTAAGTGGTTGGGCACTGTTCCTTCATTGTAAAGCATTGTAAAGCATGACACATAAAGCCTGTGGGGTATGGGAGGGTCATGGGGCCAGGAAAAGGTAGGCTCTAGTGTCACACTATAAAAATATCGGCAACTCACCCAACCTCCGCCGTGCGATTTTCATACAGTCAAGTCTGAAATGTTGGTTGATTTGTCCATAGACGTATTAAACGGTTTCAGTATTTTGTAATATAATTTTTCTGAGAAGGAGAGAGAGAGAGGGAGAGAGAGAGAGAGAGAGAGAGAGAGAGAGAGAGAGAGAGAGAGAGAGAGAGAGAGAGAGAGAGAGAGAGAGAGAGAGAGAGAGAACGAGGGGAGAGAGGGAATGGTTCAAGAGAGGGAAGGAAAAGGGGAAAGGACGTTGGCGAAGGATGATAAGGGGTGGAGATTAGGAGAAAGGGGAGTAGATTGGGGAGAGGGAAATGGGAGGAGATACCCAGGCACAGCCATCTTCCCCTCTAGTCTCTCTATATATCTAACTACATCCAACCCATTCTCCACTTTAGATAGTACTTTTTGTGACTATGTGGACGATCATGCATATATTTTGAAGTAGTGGACAATTGGATAGTACAATTTGGTACTATTCACTTTATCGAGCCCGGAAATAATAAAGCTAAAAACCAAACTTAAATTTACCTAGGCCTAGTACAGCATATATATAGATGTACCATATTAAGCCTAAAATAACTTTTAATGGTTTGGTTTTATTAGCAACATAAATACAAAATCTTTTCCAGTGTGTCCGAATTCAATAGCACCAAATTCTACTTTTCTAATTGTCCATAACACTAATATATATATATATATATATATATATATATATATATATATATATATATATATATATATATATATATATATATATATATATATATAAATATATATATATATACGTTGGTTTACATAGTTCCTTTAACAAGTATTATCTAAACAGTAGAATGAGCTGCTATATATCTAACTACATACCTGCCTAACCTTCTATCTATATATCTATATATATTTATTATCACCCGCTCAGAAACCGGCTTCCACAGATATTCTCGATATTTTCCCAAACTGTCATTTGCAAAAGTCAAGAAGCACATTAATTTGGATGGCTGTAAGCTTTGATTAATCACTGGACAGCGAGGCTCGCTGATGTAATCCAGTTTATAAAGTGAACAAGCAGAGACTCTCATTCATTCGTATAGAGTTATATTTTATATCTTATGAATCGTGTAAACAATTGAGCTTCACTGAGATTACATTACTTTGAGGGACACGTATTGGAAATGGTTTAGTCTTGTGATGAACGGTTGAGTGTGATGTGTGCGTGTGTGTGTGTGTGTGTGTGTGTGTGTGTGTGTGTGTGTGTGTGTGTGTGTGTGTGTGTGTGTGTGTGTGTGTGTGTGTGTGTGTGTGTGTGTGTGTGATGTGTGTGTGTGTGTGTGTGTGTGTGTGTGTGTGTGTGTGTGTGTGTGTGTGTGTGTGTGCGTGTGTGTGTGTGTGTGTGTGTGTGTGTGTGTGTGTGTGTGTGTGTACTCACCTAGTTGTGTTTGCGGGGGTTGAGCTCTGGCTCTTTCGGCCCGCCTCTCAATTGCCAATCAATCAACTGATACTCTTTTAGTTTTTTGCCCCCCCCCCTTCCCCCAGAAAGGAGTCCGTAGCAGCTGTCTAGCTCCCAGGTACCATATATACTACTAGATGAACACGGCATCAGGGTGAATGAAACTCTGCCCATTTGTTTCCACCATCGCCGGGGATCGATCCCCAGCGACTATTCCACTTGCTCACTGTTCTAACACTGAGGAGACTTTCTTACAAGTTTACAGTTCATCTGTCTCTGGTTCCCACTTGAGTTCTCTCGTTTAGACGCTGCTTCGTCTTTTGTTTTAAACTTGGTCGTGTGTGTACAGCTCGTTCTGTCCGTATGCTACAACCTACAGAAATCTTTCCTAACTAGAGAGTCGTACGAACCCAAGCCACCCACCAAACATCACCAACCCGTGCACAAAAAACGAGGGTTTTTGTGAACCGCTACGTTATATGTGTTAGTTACGTTGGTTGGCATAACGTAGTATTAGTACCGTGACGTTATGGGTACCATAAGGTAGCATTATGAGGTATCAGGTGCGAGGGCGGGTATCAGGTGCGAGGGCGGGTATCAGGTGCGAGGGCGGGTGGTGTGGGGCGGGTGGTGTGGGGCGGGTGGTGTGGGGCGGGTGGTGTGGGGCGGGTGGTGCGAGGGCGGGTGGTGTGGGGCGGGTGGTGTGGGGCGGGTGGTGTGGGGCGGGTGGTGCGAGGGCGGGTGGTGTGGGGCGGGTGGTGTGGGGCGGGTGGTGTGGGGCGGGTGGTGCGAGGGCGGGTGGTGTGGGGCGGGTGGTGTGGAGCGGGTGGTGTGGGGCGGGTGGTGTGGGGCGGGTGGTGTGGGGCGGGTGGTGCGAGGGCGGGTGGTGTGGGGCGGGTGGTGTGGAGCGGGTGGTGTGGGGCGGGTGGTGTGGGGCGGGTGGTGTGGGGCGGGTGGTGTGGGGCGGGTGGTGTGGGGCGGGTGGTGTGGGGCGGGTGGTGCGAGGGCGGGTGGTGCGAGGGCGGGTGGTGTGGGGCGGGTGGTGTGGGGCGGGTGGTGTGGGGCGGGTGGTGCGAGGGCGGGTGGTGCGAGGGCGGGTGGTGCGAGGGCGGGTGGTGTGGGGCGGGTGGTGTGGGGCGGGTGGTGCGAGGGCGGGTGGTGTGGGGCGGGTGGTGTGGGGCGGGTGGTGCGAGGGCGGGTGGTGTGGGGCGGGTGGTGTGGGGCGGGTGGTGCGAGGGCGGGTGGTGTGGGGCGGGTGGTGTGGGGCGGGTGGTGTGGGGCGGGTGGTGTGGGGCGGGTGGTGCGAGGGCGGGTGGTGTGGGGCGGGTGGTGTGGGGCGGGTGGTGTGGGGCGGGTGGTGTGGGGCGGGTGGTGCGAGGGCGGGTGGTGTGGGGCGGGTGGTGTGGGGCGGGTGGTGTGGGGCGGGTGGTGTGGGGCGGGTGGTGCGAGGGCGGGTGGTGCGAGGGCGGGTGGTGTGGGGCGGGTGGTGCGAGGGCGGGTGGTGCGAGGGCGGGTGGTGTGGGGCGGGTGGTGCGAGGGCGGGTGGTGTGGGGCGGGTGGTGCGAGGGCGGGTGGTGCGAGGGCGGGTGGTGTGGGGCGGGTGGTGTGGGGCGGGTGGTGCGAGGGCGGGTGGTGTGGGGCGGGTGGTGCGAGGGCGGGTGGTGTGGGGCGGGTGGTGCGAGGGCGGGTGGTGTGGGGCGGGTGGTGTGGGGCGGGTGGTGCGAGGGCGGGTGGTGTGGGGCGGGTGGTGTGGAAAAGGACATAATAAATTGTCCTTTAAATTGTTCCTTTAAAATTTAGAAACTGTAGAAGACCTATATAGGCCTATACGAGGCCGCTTATATCGATATCCACCCCAAACTCACTCATGTATATGTCTAACCCGCGCTTGAAACACTCCATTGATCCTTATAGTCTGTTGTTAATAGGTAATTTGTTCTATAGATCAACAAAAAAACATTTGAACCCATAGTTTACAGGGCTCGAACTCAAGCAACTGGGCTCCGCTTTTCCGGCAACGGTAGGTGGTCCAAAGCAATACCTGGTCGAGGACCGGGCCGCGGGGACGCTAAGTCCCGAAAGCATCGCGAGGTATTGTAAACTATGGTGGGCCGCAATTGTGTATATAGCTACGATCATGTCCATTCGCTGCTCTACTATCTGAGTATTCTATCAGTCTCCTTCATCGATATCCTTAAGTATTTGTTATGTCTTGATCATGTCCCCTCTATGAGCGTTGTTAAAATTAATTCCCTCAGTCGATGCCTGTAACGCGACGAATAATGTATCGGGATGCAAATCTCTCTTCTACATTCCTCGTCATATGTTTCAGCTTAAATACAGGAGAAAATGTGCGTCTGTGGCAGGTCAGGTATTGCCACCATGCCAGAAGTATGTGGTATGGTACCTGATATGGTTCCTGATATAGTACCTGGTATGGAACCTAGTATGATACCTGGTATGGTAGCTCACATGTCCTGCGCCTCGTGAAAGAATGGGTCTGGGTTTGAGTCCTGGCGAGGAAGGTTAGCTTAGGTGTCAACCCTTAGCAGTTCTCTCCTGTTCGTTCCCAGCAGCAACTGGGAACCTGGTTAGTAACCCACTAACGAGTTGTGTGCCAGGGAAAACAAGTAGGGTAAGACTTACCATGAGCTTTGGAAAAAAACTTTCCTTTTCCATAGTTTAATAGAAAGGAAAATAAATAATAATAATAATAATAATAATAATAATAATAATAATAAGAAGAAGAAGAAGAAGAAGAAGAATCTGAAGTCATCTAAGCCTGTACTCACAACCATCCAATTTACAAAAATGGGTTTAACGCCCAACAACTCGCCAATTAGTTCGATAATGGAGAACTCATCACTAATTAGTGAATCTTACCCCACAAACCTGTCTAAAGTTGCCAGTCAAAATACAAGACATGTCCTGAATTCAAGTGAGAACTCCACTTCAGCCGCCCGACCCAAATGCTTGACATTCAGCTCCCCCAACACAGCGGACATGTGGCTCGTCTGAATATTGTACAACCTCACAATATGCACAACCCACACTTGGCGTCTCTACACCTTCCCTCCCTGGAAAATAACAAACACACACAAATAATATATATATATAAATATATATATATATATATATATATATATATATATATATATATATATATATATATATATATATATATATATATGTGTGTGTGTGTGTCGTACCTAGTAGCCAGAACGCACTTCTCAGCCTAATATGCAAGGCCCGATTTGCCTAATAAGCCAAGTTTTCATGAATTAATGTTTTTTTCGACTACCTAACTTACCTAACCTAACCTAACCTAACTTTTTTCGGCTACCTAACCTAACCTAACCTATAAAGATAGGTTAGGTTAGGTTAGGTAGAGTTGGTTAGGTTCGGTCATATATCTACGTTAATTTTAACTCCAACAAAAAAAAATTTACCTCATACATAATGAAATGGGTAGCTTTATCATTTCACGAGAAAAAAATTATAGAAAATATATTAATTCAGGAAAACTTGGCTTATTAGGCAAATCGGGACTTGCATAGCAGGCCGAGTACGACGTTCTGGCTACTAGGTACAACATATATATATATATATATATATATATATATATATATATATATATATAATATATATATATATATATATATAATGTCACGTGTTTATATTATATCACGTCATATTGCCTTATAATTGTTTCTTTTTCACATTAAGAGCAATTTCGATGTTGTAACCAAGCCGCAACAAATTGTGGAAGTTGTGTTAGCAACGGGTTTTCTGTCAAAATTAGTTCATTCCAACAGTTTAAAAATATCTTTTAAATAAACTGTTAATAACAAAAATAGGAGCAAAAAACACTTTGAAACATTCAGTGTAGCTGGGAATAAACCGTTCAGGGAAAAATTACATTCCTAGCTTTCACCAAACAAGAAAAAATTATTTAAATTATTTTAAAAATTAATACAGCGAAAAAAATCAGCATTCCTAGTTTTTTTTAAAGTATGTATATAATAATAATGATTATTATTATTATTATTATTATTATTATTATTATTATTATTATTATTATTATTATTATTATAATAGAATTCACATTTTAACATGAACCTATTTATTAGATATTAGGTTAAAATTTAGTTACAAATAGCTTGAATATAATGTATGAATGTTTAAATACAGCAACGTGTCCATAATTGCAAATGAGTTGAAATAATGTTTAAACAAATATTATCTTTCACACTTGCTAAATTATTTAGCATATACTAATTGAATGTAATTTATGAAGCCATGATAAGTGAAGGTAATTAATTTTGTAAGAGAGATTTTATGTATGAATTGTTATATAATGTATACACTTAATGTTATGTTTATACATAAACATATATATATAAAAATGCTAAACTATTTAATGTTTAATTTACCTTCGTGGTCATTTGTTTTCATATTATTTATCACGTGTTAATTTCTTCATGATTTACACACACACACACACACACACACACACACACACACACACACACACACACACACACACACACACACACGGTCGGTGTGTGTGGCCGGAGGCTGACTGGACAGCACGCTGGACGCGTGATCCTGTGGTCCCGGGATCGATTCCCGTAACGGCGAGAAACATTGGGCAGAGTTTCTTTCACCCTAATGCCCCTGTTACCTAGCAGTAAGTAGGTACTTGGGAGTTAGTCACCTGTCACGGGCTGCTTCCTGGTGTGTGTGTGTGTGTGGTGTGGGAAGGGAAAAAAATAGTAGTTAGTAACAGTTGATTGACAGTTGAGAGGCGGGCCGAAAGAGCAGCGCTCAACCCCCGCAAGCACAACTAGGTGAATTCAACTAGGTCAAATACACTCACATGTGTGGTCTGTCATGGTGGATAGTCGTGGGTTGGGAGCTCCTGGGATACTAGTGAAGTGGGAGGGATAATCAGTCTACTTCGAAGTGAAAAAATGTATATGAGTGAATGAAAAAGTTGGAATTTGACTTAAACCATAAGGAAGTGAAGAAAGAAAGTACACATAGCATAATTGAAAATAGGTGTTGAACGCATTGTGGCAGTGTGAAGTTGTGGAGCAGACCTCACACAGACTGTGACCTCACCAGCCTTAATCTGTGACCGACGGCAGCAATCCTTAGTCCTCCACGTGGGGAGAGACCAGGAGACTCACTCGCCTATATTGTGTATTGCAGATCGGTAAATTGGAACGCCTGTGGGTAAGGTTGTTTATAGCAATGACTAGGTCAGGAAGGGCGTCTAGGTCCAGCAGTATTATGAATGAAGAAGAAGATAGGCTTGTGGAGAAGCTGATAGGGAAATTTCTTGAGAAGATGGATGTTTGGATACAGAATCTAATCCAAGGGATTAAAAGTGAGATCTTAAATAAAATATAGGACGAGGTTCAGAGACAAAAACAAGAGCTTGTGAACTATATTCAGGAAAAAATCAGAAAGAGCAGGGCAGCATGGGAAGGTGAAATAACTCGGCTTGCAACTGAATTTGGCAGGAATAACAGCATGGCAAGGGAAGGGGGAGTAGTGGGGGGGTGGAGTAGCGAGTGTGGGAGGGATGGTGGGTATCCTGGGGAGGGGCGACCAGCATGAGAGTGCGTCACTGAGAAGGCGGTCAATTATACTCCATGGATTACTCGAATCCAAGGCATCATCGAGGCAGGAAAGGATAGATGGGAGAATTTGAATTACAGGAGATCTTGAGATTTATTAAAGCAGAGATGGCAGGAAATGAGGAATAAATCCACTGCCCCATTGCGCCTTACAACTGTAACAAGAATCGACCTCTCCTGGTACAGTTCTCTAACAAAGAGGCAGTGGATTACATACTGCAAGACAAACATTTACTCAGAGGTAGGAAAAACTATTACAACGTGTATATTGATAGATATATGACAAAAGATGAACAGATAGCCCACAGGGCGAGCCAACCTGCACGCCACAACTCTACCCACTCGAGTGTAGTTACCCATCCAACCCTTGCTACCACCCCACAACTCCTTCCCAAGTCACACCCTCCCCAAATCAGCCCTCCCATCCCTCACCCCTGATTATCTCCCCAACAACTCCTCTGTTCCCTCTGACCCCATTGCATTTAATTCCATCTGCTTCATCCCACCTTCCAAGGACCCCCCTCATCCCCTCAACCCCCAAAACCTGCCCAGCCTTCATCTCTCTTCTGCCACCCCTTCTTCCATGTAACCCCCCCCCCCTGTTCCTCAATTTCCCTCCTTCCTCCCTTCTGCCCCAATGCCTACACCTACCCCTGAGTCCACCCTGACTAATACAACCTCGCTCCCACTCTCACTATCCATTCTACATCCTCCCCTCTTCCCCCCACCCCCTATCCTTCTCCCCCCAACCTCTCAACCTCTATCTGACTCTCAGCCTCACTCTACCTCTCAACCCCCCCTATGCCTCTCCGACCCTCCCTAATTTTCATACCCAGTACGCTCTTCCTACTCCAAACCTAGGTATCCAGACCTTACTACCCCAGACCTTCCTACCTACCTTCAAAGACGCCAAGACTCCATTCGCCCCCCAGGCACCCCCCCCCCCCCGACCCTATTCACCCCCAGACACCCCCCCCCAGATCCCCAGACCCCATTCATCCCCAGACACCCCACAGACCCCCAGAGAAAGGGTGAACTCTGATACCAGAGTTTCCAAAAAGAGTCTCGAGGTTTGGTACACCAATGCTGATTGGGTAACTAATAAAGCAGAAGAGGTA